GGACGGTCCCGGGCTGGAAGGCAGCAGGTGCTGGCATGAGGGGCACCCCCATTTCACGTCCTCCCCCCTTCTCTTGCAGCCGTGTTACCTGCGGGACTGGGAGATGCAGGTGCATTTTAAAATCCACGGACAAGGCAAGAAAAACCTCAACGGGGACGGCTTTGCCATCTGGTACACCAAGGACCGCATGCAGCCAGGTAAAGCGCCGGCGGTAGGTGCCAGGGTGGAGACCCTGCCCGCAGGGGAAGGTGTTGGGCACCGTGTGCCGCCTTTCTTGGGGCACCTTCTCTCTGGTCCGTGGGCTCGCTTGGAGAAACCGCGGCGGGGAATCGCTGTGATTTCTGGGCAGCTGCAGCGTTTTGGGGCCTTAGGGCTGTTTTTCCTTCGCCCCGGCGGGCCAAGAGGGAGTGTGATGCCCACGCATGAGGCTGCGCCGGAGCCTTGGCACCCTGGGTTAGGGGGGTTGGGGGGTCCTGGGGAGCTGGAGTCAGCTCAGGGGTGGGTGGATATGGGATTGTTTTGTCCTGAGCTCGGGATGGGTGGTGTAACGGGATGTGTGGGGCCTCCTGGGCTGTGAGTGAGCTCCTTAAAAAGCAGACGGCGGAGGAAGCTCCATCCTTGAGTGGCAAAGGGCTGGGGATTTAATCCAGCCCTCTGACGGGATTAACTGCTCGAGGCCGCCTCGTTACCCGCTAGAACAGCACAAAGGGACGGCTAACAAACCCCTGGCAACACCTGCTTGGCCTTGCCACCCTATTCCCGGCCTCGCTTTCCTTCTAGGACCTGTCTTTGGAAGCAAGGATAACTTCCTGGGCCTGGGAGTGTTTGTGGACACCTACCCAAACGAGGAGAAGCAGCAGGAGGTGAGCTAGGAAGGAGAAAGGGGACCGTGCAGCTTGCCAGCTGCCCGCGGAGAGCGGCACGGGCCGCGTTGAGGGCACAGCTCGTGGCACCACCGAGGCAGCTCCTCGTTGGCGCGGCGCGATCCGCTTTGAGCTCTTGGATCACGGACCAGATGCTGCTCTGCGTCCTCTCCGTGGTTGGTTTTTCTTCCTAGGGAGGCAATAACTTTTCAGGGATGTGAGAAGCTGCAGGGTGGTTTTGTGGTCAGCTTCACCCAGGGAAAAGGGTTTCAAGAGCAGGAGGAAACCAGCTGATGGTCCCAGCTCCGCGCTCCTCTGCTTTCTGCAGGCTGCCAGCACGTAGTGCTTGAGGTGAAGCTGTGCCAAGACTTTGTAAACCTCGAGTAGAGCTGTCCTGGCACTGGGGCTGTATCGTGGCAGCAAGTTGGTGGGAGGCTGTCCCTGCTCTCAGGGATGAAGCACGACTGCGCTCTGCCGCTTCGGAAGGCGCGTGTTTTCCATGCGGCTGTTGGTTGGTTGGGGCTTACTGGTGTCTGTTCCTACGGAGCAGGGAGTGCAGAGGCAGTTCAAACCAGGTCCTTCCCACCCTGGTGCTGGAATCGCTTTTATCACTCCAAAACCCAAAGCTAGACTCTCTTAATTCCAGCTTTCCTTTAAAAAATAGGCACCATTTTACCCCAAGACCTTGGGGCCAGCCCCCCTGCCCCACAGGACCCCCGTTCATCCCGGGGAGAGAGACAAAAGGGTGCAGCTGGGATGCACCCTGCCCTTGGAGCTGCGGAGCAAACATTAACTCCTGGCTTCTGTTCAAACATCCAAAGCAACTCGGACTTTGTGCCCTGAAAGCCTTTCCGAGCCGCCGGGCACCACGTTAGCCGGCAGCGCTCGAGGATTAGCCGAGTGTTGGATGGATCCCGTCGATTTTCAGGCAGCAGCTCCGCTTTTGTGGGGTGAAGGGATGCACAGCGGGTCTTATTTAAAGGGAATTCTCAGTGCAACGGGGGTGTCCAGCTTCCCAGTGCAGTCTGCGACCGGAGCGGGCTGCTCTCCTCCGGTCCAGCACTGCGGAAGGGAAGAGATGGAGAAACGGTGCCGGCACGGCGTGTGCCTTCCTGGCTGCTTTCTCTGGCCTTTGGAAAGGCAAAAGGAATTGTCTGATTCTCGAGGGAAGAGGGACAGGTGGGTTGTGTGTCCCTGCGGAGCGCTGGTGTCCCCCGTCGGGCGCCGCCTTTTGAAGCGCTCGACGTGGCTCCCGGCATTTCCTTGCCGCGTGTCCCGGGATTCGGCACCTAATCCCTGAACCCCGCTCTGCGTCGGTCTCCGCTAAGCCGATAACGCACGGAGCTCTCCAGGGAGAGCTCCAGAGTTTCCAGGTGGACACAAAATTGTAAACACTAAACTCTGGTCTGTGACTGTCGCTCTTTCTTGCTTTGCGCTAACGCTGGCCTGGCAGGCGCAGAAGAGGAGGTACAGCCCGGGAAACCAGGTACTTCCCTTCCCGACCTCCCTCTTCCCAAGCTGTGGAGTTTCACCTTGGCTCACAGTCGAGGGAATCCCTCCTCCGAGCTCCGGAAATCCCTGGGGGAGGCTGCATGGAAACCACCTGGTCTCCATCCCAGGCGTCTGGGAGCTGAGGCTGAGCCCGAGGGAGGCTGGGGGGTGGAGCGGGATGGTGCCGTTGGCTCGTTGAGACGGATTCTTGCGGACAGGGTGGCGGAGTTTGAGGTCTGTAGGGCTGTCGTGGCTCTTGACCCCGGTAGAACCGAGCCGTGGCCGGCGGGGCGAGAGCAGAAACTCACCCCCAGCCTTCCTCCCCGTCTCGCAGCGCGTCTTCCCCTACATCTCGGCCATGGTGAACAACGGCTCTCTCACCTACGACCACGACCGGGACGGCAGACCCACGGAGCTGGGGGGCTGCACGGCCATGGTGCGCAACCTCAACCACGACACCTTCCTGGTGATCCGCTACGTGAAGAGGCGGCTGACGGGG